CACCGGTACTTTGTTCAGCCGCTCTTTGGAACAAGAGAATGAGCAACTGATACCTCATGTGTGCCAGAAGAGATGTGTTCCTTCAGAGTTCTTAGTTGTGAAATGCTTCTACTACTAGCGCAAGAGACGGAAGATGAGATGCTCAGCTCATCGCTTCCCTGTTTTTTGCGGAGACTTCATTTGCGCAGGAGGCTTTGCCAGAAGAGTCAGAAGAGATCCCGAAGGCTGTTTTGCAGACACGGGCTCGAATCTTCCATATTACATATGGGTATATACACCATAGTCATGACACCGGTACGTTGTTCAGCTGCTCTTTGGAACAAGAGAATGAGCAACTGATACCTCATTTGTGCCAGAAGATGTGTGTTCCTTCAGAGTTCTTATATAGTTGTGAGATGCTTCTACTACTAGCGCAAGAGACGGAAGATGAGAGGCTCAGCTCATCGCTTCCCTGTTTTTTTGTGGAGACTTCATTTGCGCAGGAGGCTTTGCCAGAAGAGAAGCAGGAGTTTGAACCGCGAGTTTACGCTGGCATGGCTTTGCTCCCCATCATACGGAAGTACTTCGACGAAATCGTTGCAGGCAGAAAAAAATACGAGTTCCGAGCAGATACTAGCAGGATCCAAAGCCTTGCACAGCGGAAGCATCTCATGTTCAAGAATGGACGATGTGGCAAATGTCCATATGTAATTGTTGAAATCACGGGTTCCTCAGAGTCGTCGTTGCAAGCCGTCAGAGAAGCTCACGGCGAAGAAGCGCTCAAAATCTTCGATCAGGACTCTAGCATCCGAGCGCTCCATCTTGGGTCTGTAGTTGAAGTGTGGGACCCCAAGAGGTACACGTTCTACCGGAACACTGCAGTTGACTTGGGGCCCTGCACGGGCATGACCACCTCTCCAATAAAACATGCCACCCGTTCTGCTGATTTGGGCCCCTTGCCCTTGGATTTGCAAGCGGCATCGCTCAAAAGGAGGAACTTGGCCGGGCTACCGTCCCAATCCGTGGAGGAATCCTTTGAGGCTTTTGCCAATCTTTGTAGGCAAGTTGCAGAGTTTGTGGAGGGCCCTGTCAAGAGCGGCCACAAACCAGTTCTGTTGAGTCCAATGACTCTCACCGTAGGCTCTAGGTTCAGTGGCATTGGCAGCTGTGAGGAAGCCTTCAGGACAATTGAGCCTCATATACCATTGGCCTTTGATTTCCTCTACGCATGCGACACGGACACGGACGTGTGCAAATTCTACCAGCACAGGTTTGGTTCCAACCATCATTTTTTCAAGGACGTGTATGATTTGGCCCCAACTGGGAACCTTCCCATAGACAAAGACGTGACATTTACGGAGAAGATGAAGCAAATGAAGTCGGTTGTCTTGAAAAAGACTAGTAAGTGCCAAAGTCATGACACCCGATGTAGCATCCCACAGGTCCACATGGACATATCTGGGAGTCCTTGTGTGGACTATTCAGCTCAGGGGAGTCGACGTGGCACCGAAGGCAAAAACGTGAATGCCATGCTTTTGCATTTTTGCGATTTGCAGCGGCGGCAGATTCCAATTCGCGTGTCTGAGAATGTTGTGGATGTGGAAGGACAGACAGCCATTGCATCTGCCATGAATGACTGCGAGATCCGCTACATCATCACGATGCCCGAAGACGTGGGAATGGGAAGCGTACGGCGGGACAGAGGGTGGATTGTTGGAGTGGCTCCTCCTTTCAGGTTCTTCCAAGATCCAAATCTCCTGTATGAAAAACTTGCAGGTGTTTTGAGTCAGAAGCAGGTTTCTCAATCTGCGCTTTGGTTTGAAGATGATGAGGGATTGCAGCAAGAGCTCAGGGGTGTCGCCAGCCGCTTCCGCCACTACACTGAGGGCTGCTCTTTGAGTCTTAGTTGACAAAGAAAAACAAAATGTCAGCAGTTTTTCCAGTTGCCGACTATTTTATTTTAGCCCGCGGGTCAAAACTATAGGAATAGGGCTACCATGTTTCAAACCCCACTGCCACAAAGCTGAGTTCAAGCATGCTGGTGATGTCGGAGAAGACTAACCTATTTGGGCAGAGCGGCCAGCACGGTGGGTACCGCGAGCTGTTTGAGAAGAAGTCAATGGATCCTGGATTGGAGGTCTGCTCCCTCAGTCAGCACCCATTCAAGCACGCCACCACTTCCCACGCTGATGGCAGCCTTCCTACTTTTCTGGCGAGCAACTATCAATTCCTTTGGAGCATGAGCCGTTCTCGGTGGCTTACATCGAAAGAAAAGTGGACGGCCATGGGTTGGCCTACAACTCAAAAGCTGGCAACGATATTGGGACGACCAGTGGTTGAGCCAAGGCTTACAAAGAGTGCTCATCAGCAGATTGGGAATGCAATGCATGTGTTCAATGCGGGTTTGATCGTGATGTCTGTCCTCGGGAGCATTGAGCTGATAGACATTGGCGTGCCGAAGGTGCTTTGCCTGCAGCGTGTACTTCATGTACAATTTGAGTGCTTGACAATAGAGCCCACAGATGTCAACACAATGGGGTTTCAACCAAACTAAGACAGAGAACATGCACAGAAAATAAAACCACTTTTTTGACACAAGGAAATCCACAAAACTACTCTTGGGTTTTTGTCTCAGTGCAGTTTGGGTTCTCCAATAAGCTCCTGCCTGCATCGTCAACATGGTTCCCAGATAGTTTCCTAGGTTTTTTTCTCCAAACAGTGGGGCTCTTGCGGCACTGTTGCAGGTTCCTGGACAGACTTTGGAAGAGGAGGATGAGATGCCAAGAAAAAGACCCAAGCTTCAACACCAGAAGGTGCAGAAGGATCCTGATGACGGCAAAGACAAGGTTGCGAAGGCAGAGCTGAAGGCGACCTCCAGCAAGAAGGATGCAAAGACTAAGCCAAAGGAGCTTGGAGACCAAGACCAGAATGCAGCAAAGGCAGCGCCGATGGCCAGCTCCAGCAGGCAGGATGCCAAGACTATGCCAAAGAAGCTGGGAGACCAAGACCAGATGGCATCAAAGAAGGATTCTGACAAGGGCAATGCAAAGGCAGCGAAGGCACCAGATGGGCTTGGAGATGAAGACCAGAAGGCTGCAAAGGATGCTGACAAAAACAAAGAAAAAGCAAGGCCAAAGGCGACCTCCAGCAAGAAGGATGCCAAGACTATGCCAAAGGATCTTGGAGACCAAGACCAGAAGGCAGCAAAGGCAGCTCCAAAGGGCCGCTCCAAAAAGACTGTGCCAAAGGAGCCTGAAGACCAAGCGCCAGAGGAGCTTGGAGTTGAAGGGCAGAAGGCTGCCAAAGATGCTGACAAAACCAAAGAAAAGGCAGCGCCAAAGGCAAGTTCGAAAAAGCAGGTTGCAAAGACTACGCCAAATGAGCATGAAGACAAAGACCAGAAGGCAGCAAAGGCAGCGAGCTCCGGCAAGCAGGTTGCAAAGACTACGCTACAGGAGAAGCATGAAGACTCTCCGTCTGACTATGAGTCCATGACATGGAGGGCGTTGTACGATCTTGCTCGGGAGCGTCGCGTGACCGGCTTGAAGAAGCAAACCGGTCTGTCGAAGGATGTGCTGGTTGGGCTTTTGCGCGCTGCGGATGGGGAGAAAAAGCACCCATCTCAGACGACTTCATCTTCATCAAAGCTGGCTGACTTGCTCAAAGCAAAGGAACCAGCAGAACGAGCAGCGCGCTGGGCATCAGAAGGCCAAGCAGGTGAACAAGGTGAGAACATTACCCAGATGTTTCTGGATACTTCACAGGCTGGAATGGAACAGAAACAGAAAATCAACATGGAGGAAGCATCCTATGACGGAATCCTTCCTTCGGTGGCGATTGACAAGTTTTTGCAAGCTATTCACGTGATGGAAGACAAGAATTTGCTTGGGATCTTGTTTGGGAGAGAGCAGCAGCGGTTTGGGAAAGGCAAAAGCGCTTACAATAGGAATGTCGTTTATGGCATGGTTCTTGGCAGAGAAGCTGAATTGTCAGAAGCGTCTCACCAGAATCAAGCACATGTTCCACGTTGTTTTGTACAGTTGGATTTTTTGTGGTTTGTTCAACCCCGAGTGCTTGCTTATACCTATTTACCAGGCTACCGCCTGCAGCCGCCGACCCCCAAGGGATAGAACCTTAGCGCTAGCCTTGCTCTATGTTAGCCTTAGCCTTAGCCTTAAGAGTGCAGACCCAACCCAGCACCACCAAAGCAGGTACCCAAAAAGTCGACTTTTTGGGTACCTCCC